CTGCACTCCAACCTGAATGACAGAGTGAGACTCTGACTCAAAAAAACAAAACAAAACAATAGCGTTAATCAAATGAATGAATGTTAGTGTCACCATGGGACAGGGTGGACAGTCAAAGAAAAGGGTGGAAGGACGGTTGTCATTTGAGGAGCACAAGACCATTTTGAAGTGGTATTTGAAATGTGAGAACATTGTGGAAGCACAATGACAATGGAGGCATGAGTATGCAACAGAACCTCCAATATGCCTAACAATTGCATGCATTCGTGATAAGTTTGAGATATATGGTACTATGTGTGATGTGCACAAGAAAAGATCTGGAAAGTCTCACAAAGAAACACGTCCTGCTACTTCTGCTATAGTGTTGGAACCATTTACATGTTAACCACAGAAGTGTACCAAACAATGTGCACATGAGATAGGAGTAAGCAGAACAAGCATATGATGCTTTCTTAAAACAGCAAAATGGAATGGTTTCATCCCAAGATTATTACATGCATTGAATGAAGATGACCCTGATTGAAGTGTGCAGTATTGTGAGTGGTTCCAAAACATGGTATGAAAGGATGAGGAGTTTATGGGGAAAGTGGTTTGGTCTGATGAAGCAGTTTAAATTGAATGGAGCAGTGCAATTGAGTTTCCTCCACTTTCTCCTGACTTAACACCCCTTGACATCTACCTATTGGGGGCCTTAAAGGATGTGGTGTACCATAGAAAACCAGCTACACTGGCTGTACTTTGAGAAGAAATTGAAATTGCGTGTGTAGTGATATAAGTGGGCACTTTGGTCAACGTTGCTCAAGCAATAGTTTTCCATAATCAGAAGGGTTTGGACACTGATGGTAACTACTTTGAGCACCTCTTGTAATTGCAGAAGTCAAATATGACTTGTATTCATTTTTTGTTATTGGTATATATTGAGTGTTACAATTTTAATACAGTTTTTTTTCTTTCTTAAATTGTGTATGCATTTTTGGACACCCTCTGTACAACAATCATCTTTGCCTTTTTTTTTAACTGTTGTTAATTTAAAGTCTGTTTTATCTGATACAAATCTGGCTACTCCTAATCATTTTTGGTTTCCATTTGCAAGGAATATTTTTCCCACCCCTTTTCCTTGATTCTGTAGGAGTCTTTGTGTGTTCAGTGAGTCTCTTGAAGGCTGCAGATATTTGGGTTGTGGGTTGTGTGTTTGTATTTTTTAAAAAATCAATTCTGCCAGTCTATGTCTTCTTAGTGGGGGCACTGAAATCATTTACATTCAGAGTTAATAATAATATGTAAAGTACTATTCCAGTCATCATGCTGGTTGTTTCTGGGTGCTTTATTTATTTTTCTTTATTGTGTTGGTGTTGCATAAGGCCTGTGAGCTTTATGATTTCCAGTTTTTTTTTCTACTGGTGTATTTCAATCTTTTGCTTCAGTACTTAGAATTCCTTTGAGTATTTCTCGTAGAGCTGGTCTAGTGGTGACAAATTTCCTCAGTGTTTGCTTGTCAGAGAAAGACTTCATTTCTCCTTCTTTTATGAAACTTAGTTTTGTAGGAAACACAATCTTAGGCTGACTGTTACTGCTTGAGAAGATAGAAAATGGGGTCCCAATCCCTTCTGGCTTGCTGGGTTTCTTCTGAGAAGTCTGCTATTAGTCTGATAGGTTTACGTTTGTGTGTTTACATTTGATGCTATTGACTCACTGCTCTTAAAATTCTTCCCTTAACATTAACTTTGCATTCGACAATTATATGCCTTGGAGATGACATTTTTGAAATGAATCTTCTGGAGATTTTGGGGGCTTTTTGTTTCTAGATGTTTAGATTTCCGGTAGGACCAGGAATGTTTTCCTCCATTATTCCCTCAAATAGGTTTTTCGTTTTTGGGGGGTTTTTTTGAGTTGGAGTCTCACTTAGTCGCCCAGACTGGAGTGCAGTGGCCGCTCCCGGCCACCGTAGCCTCGACCTGCTGGACTCCGGTGATCCTTCCGCCTCAGCCTTCCGAGTAGACGGAATTACAGGCACGTGCTACCACGCCCGGCTGATTTTTTGATTTATTGTAGAGATGAGGTCTCGCTGCCCAGATGGGTCTCGAACCCGCGGGCTCAGGCAATCCACTCACCTCAGCCTCCCAAAGGCGTGGGATTACAGGCTGAGCCACCGAGCCCGACTCAAATAGGTTTTTCAAACCTGTTACTTTCTCTTCTTCCTCAGGAACATGTATGATCCTTAGGTGTAGATGTTTTATATAATTCCATGTTTCTTGGATACTTTGTTCTGTTCTTTTGATTCTTTTTTTAAGAATTTTTTATTTTATGAACAATGAGCTAACATGCTTTCATTCAGTGGATGCTTTGCATAATACATATAAGGAAGATCACTCAGTCCACTTCATGAAACCTATAACCTTCCTGTACTGATGGAAACACTGGCAGCACATATTGAGGCCATATTTCCAGATCAGACCATGTTGGTTTGAGCAGATGTGACAAGAGTGGTAACTTTGGCCAAATTTACATGTGTGGCTCCGGTAGAGCTTCTGGTGACCCATCTTGCTCTCAGGAGTGCAGTGAGGCAAAAGGAGATTCTTTTTTCTTTATTGTTGTCTAATTGGGTTAATTTGAAAGCTTTGTCATCATGTTCTGAGAACCTTTCTTCTACTTGTTTTAGTATACTGTTAACACTTTCCACTGCATTTTGTACTTCCCTTAATGATCTTTCATTCCCAGAATTTCAGCTTGTTTTTTTTTAAGGTGTTTATCTCTTTGGAGAATTTTTCATTCATGTCCTGAATAGTTTTTTAAAATTATTTATTTTGTTTTTCAACTTTCTCCTAAATCTCATGGAGCAATTTTGTAGTCAAGCTTTTGAATTCTATCTCTGGAATTTCAAAGAAATCATTTTGGTTAAGGTCTATTGCTGAGTTAGTGTGGCCTTTTGAGGGTGCTGGAGAATTGTTTTTTCATACTGTCGGAGTTATTTTCCTGTTTTCTTCTTATTTGTGTAGACTGTTTCTTCTTATTTGAGTTTGTCGGGAGGCTCATGTAGGGTTCCCTACAGTGTCCAGAGTGGCCAAGTGCCTTGGATATTGGTGTTAGCTGGGGTCTTGTATCAGGCCTTCCCCAAAGATAAGACATTACATTAGATATGATGGGCTGAGCTGTTGACCTCCTGCCAGGAGGTGCTTGCAGGAGAGAGCCAGCTGTGATGGTGAATGTGGGCTTTCTTCTTAGGATATGTTGCTCCAACGAAGTGCCTTGCAACCTAGGCAGAGGGTGGAGCTTTGGGAATTACCCAAATTCTATGTCTGTTTTGAGACTTTGATGAAGAGGGTAGGAAGAGAGATGAGCTCAACCACCCCACTTGTGTGCTTCCTTGGCTACCCCAGCAGGGATTGGGAGGGAGTCTCTGGCTGCTGGGGTTATACTGTGGTGCAGAACGAGCACAGAGTTCACATGAGGAGTAAGAGGTTACTATGGTGTTGAGTCCCACCAGGCACTCCTCCTTAGCCTCGGGAAGTTTGTGTCTGAGTGTCAAAGTGCAGTTGGCCCCAAGTGTTCTGCTGGCAGCTGGCCCCAGCCAGGAACTATCTGACACCACAGGATTTGTCCCTCCCAGGCTGGCCAAAGAGCTGCTGCAACACTGCCAAGTGTTG